CCCCCCCGTCCCTTCAGCACATGGTCCACAGCCCATACAAGCCCAGGAAAAGCGGCAGGCGGGACCCCAACATCCTCAGAGGCTCAACCCGTGAGCCTGGCCCAGGGCCAGCCTGCCCTGGTGTCCAGCTGTCCAGGAGTCCAAGCTGGGGGTTGGCGGGCCAGGCTGGCTGCATCCGGCCCCTAGGGGCTGGCGGTGCAGTGACCGGAGGCTCCGGACGCCGCAGTTCGAGGAGATCCATGAGGTGATCGCGCGCTACAAGACGCTGGTGAGCATGCACCACGACCTCATGCAGTCGGCGCAGGAGGGCCAGGAGAAGATCGAGCGCGCCAAGGCGCGGCTGGCGCGCTACATGGAGGAGAAGGACGATGAGATCCTGCAGCACAACAACGAGCTGGCGCGGCTACAGATGCGCTTCGACCGCGCCCGCAGCGACGTCATTATCTGGGTGAGGGGCGGGGGCGGGGCAGGACCGCGGGAAGCCGGGTGCTTGGAGGCAGAGCGCTCACACAAGCATCCTTCCTCCCTCCCCCGCTCCTCCCTCTAGCTCTCTCTCTCGCCCCGCTCATGCTCCGCCCTCGTCCCCTCCCCAGGAATCTCGCTGGGCGCACATCCAGAACACCGCTGCCAAGAAGACCCTCCTGCTTGGCACCATTAAAATGGCAACACTGAACCTTTTCCAGATCGTGAGCAAGCAGCTGAAGGATGCAGCCGGCGTGTCGCTGGAGGACACGCACAAGCAGCTAGACATGGTAGGAGGGGGAGCAAGTGCTGGGCCCCCTTGGCTTGGTTGGACCAAGGAGACTCCCCAAGGAGGTTAAAGAGTAAGAATGCATCCTGCAGAGCCTTGGCTCTCAAATTTTAGCAGCATCAGAATCACCTGGGGCATAAGAGGTATTGCTGGGCCCCACCCCGGAATCTCTGACTTAGTAGATCTGAGATGAGAACTCAGAAATGTACATCTTCAGCAAGTCCCTAGGCGATGCTGTTGGTTGGGGTTCCACACTTTGGGAACTATAACATTAGCACCAAGATACTTTTGGGCCCCAATCCAGTAGGAGGAAGGTACTATGGAATCCATTAGTTATGCAAAACAGGCTTATTAGATTCTAGTGAGGTCCTGTGGCTTACTGATGACTTGTGCTTAAGGCCCAGCTTTGTTCAAAAGAAAAATTGGTAAGTTTAGAGAGGGGATGTTCTTTGAAGTAATTGAGAGGAGATTGAAAAGGAAGTAACTTTTTCACTATACGAGTCAAAAAGTTAGTTAATGCTATGCACATCCATATACCACCGAAAATCATCTCACTTATGGCTAAAGGTATACACATTCTGTCTTTTGGGAAACCCTGGACTAGCAGCTGTGCTAAGGGTGCTTCTGATGTGCAGAGAACCATGGCTAAATAATTATTTGTCCCAGTGGCAAATGCCTTTAGCTCTGCCATAAAATTCTAGAAAGCAAGCTCCTGGAGAGCAGGACTTTTGTTTTTGTTCCTTGCTGTAGTAACCCCATACCTAAGACAATGCCTGTCACATGCAAGTCACCCAATAAG